GCCGGGCCATGGAGTGCTCCCTCCCAAGCAGAGGGCCCAGGTCCTCCCGGGCCTCCGCTCTCAGCGTCATCTCCAAAGGCTGCCGATGCCTCTTGCTGGAGTCCAAGTGCTCGGCGCCCGCCAGCCCGTCCCACCGGCACCGACACCGCGGGTCTGTGAGCAGCCCTCCGTCCTGTCACCATCACACGCGTGCGGTGCTTTCCTGTTTGCGAGGTGCTGCGAGAACATTCGCCCCTCCGTCTCCACCTTCTCTCATGGACGTTGGCACATTCTTTCCACCCGGAAAATCACCTCCTCATATTTCGTGCCTAACTCTAGGGTCACGTGCCCTGGGAGGCCTCCCTGACCGCCCCCAGAGCAGGTGTGACCATCTCTTTTATAGATGGATAGATATAGATTTTTTTATTATTGATTTCGATGCTCAACCACTGAGACACACTAGCCAGGTGCCATCTCTTTCTCTGCCTTTCAGTGCATTTGTGGGGGGCTTACAAGTACATTCCCTCTCCACCTTCCTCCTCCCCTGCTCCCCAACTTATCTGTACACCTTAGAGGGGAGGGCTGGGGACTGGAATTTGGTGTGAGAGCTGCCCCCAGGCTTTGGGGGGATCTACATTCTAACAGGCCATCACCCTGCTTCCGTTCCCTCCTTGATTTGGGGGGACAGAGCCTGGAAGAAGGTTTCCCTACTACCATTAAGCTCAGGGGGACCTGCCTGGGGTGGGTGTCCCTGATGGACACACATTAGAGAGCATTGCCCCCTGAAAAGACCCCCAAACTCACATTTCTTGCCCCGTTACCTAATGCACAAGACAACATGGTTCTAGGGGAGCTTTATACCCCAGAAACCAAAGCCACACGCCCAGGAAGAGGACAAATGAAGCCAGAGAGCGGGTCTCCCACATGAGCCGCCAGCCAGGAGCCACTGCAGGAGGAAATGCCTAGAGCAGTGGTTCCCAACCTAAGCATTGCTAAATCCCAATGGCCCCCTCCCTGTGACATATAACTCCAATTATTCAAAAAGTGACTCCTGTGCACGTGGAGGGGCCTAAAGGCCATTCACTTGACCTAAACAAGCTTCCAAAGAACATGGCATCCATGAGAGACAAAAATAAAAGAATGAAAGGACAGCTGAAGTGCTGAGGAAGAAGTCACTAAGAAATGGTTAAAAATACTAATAATAATATGAAGGGATATGAAAAAGAAGCCAATAAAGTTTCAAAACATATAATAGAGAATTGAACTGCATAAATACATCACAATATATATTTACACGCTGTATATGAGGCCCCTAGAACCAGAAGAAAGGCACAAAACTCACTGTTAATAGCTCATTCTCGAATTGCCCCCCTTAAGAATCAAACTGCCCCCTGTGGCGTGTGCCCACGCTGGGAGCCACTGGCCTAGAGCGATGGGGTGAGGGTGAGGCCCACTGGAGGCAGAACACAGCGCTTCCCTCCCCTGCGACTCCTGTCCCAGGCAAGCGGCCTGAGTCTCTGTGTTCTCAGATGAAAAGTGGGGCGAGGGCCCTTTCTGCTCCCCATTGTGGGGGACCCTTTGCTCCAGCTGCCAGGTCAGTGCCACAGACTCTTGTGATATGGAGTCAGATACTTTACTTCCCAGGCTGTGGGCATGGACTGCAGATGCTGTGCAAGGGTGTGTGCAGGAGTGTGTGTGTGTGTGTGTGTGTTTCTGAGGGTGCGAGTCTGTGAGTTTAAATGTGTGTGAGAGTTTGTATGTTTGAGGCTATACAAAGTGTGTAAATGTGTGTGTGAGAGAGCACGTGCCTGCATATCTGTGGTGTGTGTGTGTGTGTGTTGAGTGTGTGTGTGTGTGTTTCTGAGGGTGAGAGTGTGTGAGTTTAAATGTGTGTGAGAGTTTGTATGTTTGAGGCTATACAAAGTGTGTAAATGTGTGTGTGAGAGAGCATGTGCCTGCATATCTGTGGTGTGTGTGTGTGTGTGTGTGGTGTGTGTGTGTGGTGTGGTGTGGTGTGTGTGTGTGTGTGTGTGTGTGTGTGTGTGGTGTGTGTGGTGTATGTGTGTGGCGTGTGTGGTGTGGTGTGCGTTTGTATGTGGTGTGTGTGGTGTATGTGTGTGGCGTGTGTGGTGTGGTGTGCGTTTGTATGTGGTGTGTGTGTGGCGTGTGTGGTGTGTGTGTGCAGTATGTGTATGCGGTATGTGTGTATGTGGGGTGTGTGTGTGTGGTGTGTGTGTGTGGTGTGGTGTGTGTTTGTATGTGGTGTATGTGTGTGTGGTATGTGTGTGCAGTGTGTGTATGCGGTATGTATGTGGTGTGTGTGTATGTGTGTGTGTGTGGTGTGTGTGTATGTATGTGGTGTGTGTGGTGTGTGTGTATGTGGTGTGTGTGTGTGGTGTGTGTTTGTATGTGGTGTATGTGTGTGTGGTATGTGTGTGCAGTGTGTGTATGCGGTATGTGTGTATGTGGTGTGTGTGTGTGTGTGGTGTGTGTGTATGTATGTGGTGTGTGTGGTGTGTGTGTGTATGTGGTGTGTGTGTGTGTGTGGTGTGTATGTGGTGTGTGTATGCGGTGTGTGTATGTATGTGGTGTGTGTGTATGCAGTGTGTGTGTGTGCGCGGTGTGTGTGTGTATGTGGTGTGGTGTGTGTGTGGTGTGTGTATGTGGTGTGTGTGTATGTGGTGTGTGTGTGTGCGCGGTGTGTGTGTGTATGCGGTGTGGTGTGTGTGTGTGTGCGCGGTGTGTGTGTGCGCGGTGTGTGTGTGTATGTGGTGTGTGTGTGTGGTATGTGTGTGCAGTGTGTGTATGCGGTATGTGTGTATGTGGTGTGTGTGTGTATGTGTGTGTATGTGGTGTGTGTGTGTATGTGGCGTGTGTGTATGTATGTGGTGTGTGTGGGGTGTGTGTGTGTGTGTGGGGTGTGTGTATGTGGTGTGTGTGTATGTGGTGTGTGTATGCGGTGTGTGTATGTATGTGGTGTGTGTGTATGTGGTGTGTGTGTGTGCGCGGTGTGTGTGTGTGTGTATGTGGTGTGGTGTGTGTGTGGTGTGTGTATGTGGTGTGTGTGTATGTGGTGTGTGTGTGCGCGGTGTGTGTGTGTATGCGGTGTGGTGTGTGTGTGTGTGTGCACGCGGTGTGTGTGTGTATGTGGTGTGTGTGTGTGGTGTGTGTGTGTGGTGTGTGTGTGTATGTGATGTGTGTGTGTATGTGGTGTGTGTGTATGTGGTGTGTGTGTATGTGGTGTGTGTGTATGCGGTGTGTGTATGTATGTGGTGTGTGTGTATGTGGTGTGTGTGTATGTGGTGTGTGTATGCGGTGTGTGTATGTGGTGTGTGTGTATGTGGTGTGTGTATGTGGTGTGTGTATGCGGTGTATGTATGTATGTGGTGTGTGTGTATGTGGTGTGTGTGTGTGCGCGGTGTGTGTGTGTGTGTGGTGTGTGTGTGTGCGCGGTGTGTGTGTGTATGCGGTGTGGTGTGTGTGTGCGTGTGTGCGCGCGGTGTGTGTGTGTATGCGGTGTGGTGTGTGTGTGTGTGTGTGCGCGGTGTGTGTGTGTATGCGGTGTGGTGTGTGTGTGTGTGTGCGCGCGGTGTGTGTGTGTATGTGGTGTGTGTGTGTGGTGTGTGTGTGTATGTGGTGTGTGTGTGTATGTGGTGTGTGTGTATGTGGTGTGTGTGTATGCGGTGTGTGTATGTGTGTGGTGTGTGTGTGTGTGGTGTGTGTGTATGCGGTGTGTGTGTGTGTATGCGGTGTGTGTGTATGTGGTGTGTGTGTATGTGGTGTGTGTGTGGTATGTGTGGTGTGTGTGTGGTGTGTGTGTGTGTGTGGTATGTGTGTGTGTGGTGTGTGTGTGTGTGCGCCCGCTGGGGGCAGGGAAGGGAGCCGGTGGGAGCGGGGAGCTGGGCGGACTGATGCGGGCAGAGCAGACAAAAAGAGGCAGGTCCTGTCTTTGAGGCGGCGGCCGGAGGAGAAAGGAGCTCTTATTGGTGGTTGTCAAGGAGATGGGCCTGGGTTTGCTGAACTTTCTTCCCTCTAAGCGTCCAGCCCGGCGCTGAGAGGGGCCATTGATTTCCAGCCGCCTCGCGGGCGGGGGTCTTCGATGCAGGCACCGGAGGTCACAGGCGTCAGGTGTGCACCCCAGGCCGGCACCGAGCAGCTCCTGGGTTGCATGGCCGCCGGGATGCTCCCGCGGCCCTGAACCCTCCGCCCTGCCCGGTCTGTCCCTGCGCAGCCTCAGGCCTCCAGTTCTCGGGGCATCAAACTGCAGGCGCAGCCACGAAGGCCGCGCGGCCAGGACGCACCGCAAAGTGCCACTGCCCCACGCGGAGCTTTCCCGCGCCCCTTCCAGGCGTGGGTTCTGCGACTGTCCCGTGACAAGCACGCCCGTGGGCCACTGTCCTTTGGGGAGTAGGAAACAGTTCGTTTGTCCTGAACGTACATTTCCAACCGCTCTTCACGATGTGCTCCTGTCTGGCCATTTCGCCGCTGCCTTGCCAGCGCTTAGCACGTAGTAGGTGTTCAATAAACAGTAGTGGAAGGGTGAACGTGCGGTGCTGCGAGCACTGGCGTTTCTTTCACTGGGAACGGGTGCCGGGCCTTTCTAAACCTCCGAGGACCCGGGGCGGGCCCTCGCCTCACCCCACTGTGTGTGCGCAGGGGGCAGGGGCGGGCGGGGTGCTGCCCCTAAAGGGGGGTCACCCTAGATGACCGGGGTGTAGGGGGAGGAGCGGACAGGCGGAGGGGGCAGCGTCCGTGTAAGCCGCCGCCTGGACGAGACCGCGCACCCCGCGGCCGCGCGAGCCCCCCGGGCCCCTACCCCCCACCTGCCGCCCGCCGGGAGGGGCGGGGTGGTCCGGTCCTCCCCCCTGACCCCGCCCCCGCCCCCGGCGCCGCCCCTCCCCCCGTGGCCCGACGACCGGCGCCCATTGGCCGGCCGCGCGCGGCGTCCCGCCCCCAAGCACCACGGGCCAATGAACGCGCGGCTGTCAGCTCGTCAGCCGCGCCGGCTGGAGGAAGCGAGCCCGAGCGGTGGCCGCGGAGCCAGCAGCGGGAGCGCTCGCCGAGCGGCCAGTCGGGATCCCCGCGCCCGGCTCGCCCGCACCCGGCCCGGCCCGGCCCGCAGCGAGCATGGGCGCGGCGGCCGTGCGCTGGCACTTGTGCGTGCTGCTCGCCCTGGGCGCGCGTGGGCAGCTGGCGGCGGGCAGCGGGCTCCCAGGTAAGCCCCACGGGGGGGCGGCAGGCGCGGGGCGGCGGCGGCGGGTCCCGGGCGGGTCCCCTGCCCCGCGCAGTCGGGAGCGCCGAAGCCCGCACGGTTCCTTGTCCGCCCCTGACTCTTTGCAAAGTAACTTCTGGGACCCGCGCGGGGCGCCCCTCCCCGCGGCCCGGGTGGCCCGGGGCTACCGGAGCGGCGGGCCCGCAGCTGGGGCGGTGGACTGAGGTCCCGGGGGAGGAGGAGGGCGAGGGCGGGGAGGAAGAAAGAAAGCGAGGCCGCGGGCCGAGGGCCCCCCGCCCCGCGCGGACGGAGAGCGGAGAGTGGGGACCCCGGAGCCGGACGGGCGCTCCCCCGGGGTTAGAGGGGAGACTGCGAGGGGGTGGCCCAGGGAAAAGGACGGACGTAGAGAGAAAGGAGGGTGGCAGATGAAGGGACAGAAGGAGACACGGAGGGAACGCACAAAAGGACGCAGGGAGAAGCCCAGAGAAGACAGACGTGGAAGGAGAGAAACACGGAGGACCGCGACGGGAGGGAGGGGAGGGGGAAGGGAGGGGGAGGGGGAGGCACACCCGCGGCGGGAAAGGAAACGATCAAAGAGGGAGACTGAGGGACAGAGGGACCAAGGGACAGGAAGGCAGAGAGGGGAGAAGGATGGAGATGGCTGGAAAGCGCTAGGCAGATGGACAGTCGGGCAGGAGGGAGGACAGACAGACGGACACTGAGGGGAGGAGATGGAGGAAACCGAGCGGATAGCAGACATGGGACGGGTGGGCCGGGAGGTGCAGGAGGGCAGGAAGCAGGAGACACTGAGGAAGGAGTTACTGGCGCCCCAGTAACCCGACCCCAGCTTGGGTCGGGCAGGCAGCAGGGGAGAGGAGGGGGCTCCCCAGGATTTCATAGGGCCCTGCCCCTCCCACTCTCCTGGTGTCTGGGAGGGGCTCCCCCACAAAGCTGACGGCAGGGTCTCCCCTTCCACAGCTCCTCCCTTCCTCTCCCTGGTGTGGGGAGGTCGGGGTGGGTCCTGCCTGCCCCTGGTGCTCTCCTGGGCTTTTTCTGGGCATGCGCGCATGTACACACACACACACACACACACACACACCGGCTGCCACACTGGGCTCCCTGAGGTCTGCGTTTGGCCACGGGAGTCGCCCTGAGTGAGGGTGCCAGGCCATTTCAGTCATTCCCCAGTTGCAGCTGAGCCGCTTTTCACATGCCCCCTGTCCCCCAGGAAGCTGGGTCCTGCCGCCCACACCCCCACTTATCTGGGGGTGTCTCTCCTGAGCTTTGAGGTCCTAAAATCCCGTTTGGCTGTTCCTGTATGAGCCTCTCCCTGCCTCTCTGTCTCTCCTCTATGTCTGTCTCCACCCCCAGCTCCACCCCATGGAAGCCTTGTGGGGGGGGTGGAGGGGGGCGGGGGGGGGGGGCGGCGGGGGAATACACCAAAGTCAGAGCCTGCGATGAGAAGGCTGGGCTGCCTGTGGGGGGAGCCCCAGCCCAGGACAGGGAGCATGGCCAAGCACCCCTGGGACAAATGGCCTGTGGCTGCTCTCCCGCTCCTGAAACTCACCTGCCCTCTCCCCAGCCCCCGCCTGAGGGTGCCCCTTTGGCTAACAGCCATCCCTTCCCATCCTCAGGAGGACGCTGGCCTCAGCACGGGGGTTAGAGGTGCAAGGGCTCCAGAGCGCCAGACAGCCCCCCTCATTCCTGTGCACTGGCCCTTAGGGAGCAGGGAGCGCAGGGCCCGTGGCCTGCTTCCCCCGCTGGTCCTGTCTCAGAAGTGGCTGCAGTGGCCCTGTCTGGCCTCTGGCTTCCTGTCTTTGAGGCTGTGCCACCCCTGTGTGGGGGTCCCTCTGTCATCACTTCCCCAGAGGGGGTGTCCAGCTGGCCGGTGTTCCTGCCGGCCCCTGGACACCGAGGGCTGGCTCGGGCCTCCTGCCTCTGTCCCCCTTCCTTAGGGCAGATGCAGAGAACAAGCTGCTGACCTGAGCAGTTACAACCACCCTGAAAAGTGATGCCACCTGCTGTGTGCACACGCGTGCATGTGCGTGCATGGGTCTGTGTACGTGTGTGTGTGCACGTGTGCATGTGCATGTGTGTGTGCGAGTGTGCAGGGAAGTGACTGTATTTCTCCTGATGCTTCTTCCTTTGGGGACAGGCTGGAGCCTTAGGATTGGGGCAGAGGAGGAAAGCAGCAGTGGTTTCCTAGAGAGCCACCCCCCCGAACCCCCCTGAGCCCCGAGGAAGCCTGGTGCCAGCCAGCGGAGTCATTCGAGGGGGCTTTCTCTGAGGACCCGACAGCGCAGGGGGAGGCCGGAGGCATGAAGAGAGGCGGGCTTGCCCCTGGGTGACTGTGGCTGCAGAGTTCCTTGTACTGCCCTTCTGGGTCCGTCCCTCTGTCTGTCTGCCTGCATCTGTATGACACTCATAGCTAGATGGAGGTAACACGACAGATAGACAAGCTCTGGACCTGACCTTCAGCCTCTGCCCCTAAGGAGCCGCTGACCTACAACCGCCCCCCCCCCGCCCCCCGGGCCTCAGTTTCCTCATCTGTAACCTACCTTATAGCTGAGATTCTCCTGGCCCTGCTCTCCTGTGCCCCGAAGGTCCTCTTCCTGTCTAAGGGGTGTGTGTGTGTGTGTGTGTGTGTGTGTGTGTGTGTGTGTGTGTTGTATATGTGAATGTGTATGAGTGTGTGTGTATGTGAGAGAGAATGTGTGTGTGGGTGAGTGTGTGTGTGAGTGTGTGTGAGTGTATGTGAGTGTGAGTGTGGTGTGTGAGAGTGTGTGTGAGTGTGTATGTGCGTGTATGTGAGTCTGAGTGTGTGTGTGTATGTGTGTGTATGTATGTGTATGTGTGTGTGTGTGTGTGTGTTACAGTGTACACACAGATGCACAAATCTATTTTGCGTTACTCTGCCTGAGAGCAGTTCCAGACTGAAGATGTGTGTGTTGGGGTGGGAGGTGGGGAGTATCAGGAGCCCTCACCACCTAGACTGAACTTGACTTTGGAAGTTGGGATATGAGAACCAGGTTTGGATGGAGATTTCTGAGGTGGAGAGGAGAGAGGGCGGGGAGGTGGGGACCATGGATGGCCGGTGAGCCCGCCGAGGGCCGGTCACTGCGGGGCGCTCCAGGCTGGGAGGTGGAAGCCCTCGGAGAGGCCTGTTTCCCAGCCTCGGGGTTGGGTGGGGTCCCATGTCCCCATCACCTGCCTGGGTCTCCTAGCTTGGCCTCGGCTCATGGCTCCAAGCTAGCCTCAGTTTCCCCATCTGTAACCCAATGGGGATGGAGTTAAATTCTTTCAAGGGCTCTACATCCTGTAATAAAGAGAGTGGAGTGGGTTGGAGCGATGCTTGTGGAGGGAACAAGACAGAGAGGGGCTTCTCCTCGCTGCACTCCTGAGCCTCGGTTTTCCCATCTTGTTAATGGGAATAGAGGGACCTGATGACTGGGTGTGAAATCGAGTGAGAACCAGCAGCCCCAAACATGCGCCCAGAGGCCACTTGTCACACTAGCAGTGGTTCCCAACCTTCCTGATGCCGCGGCCCTTTAATACAGCTCCTCATGTGGTGACCCCCAACCATAAAATTATTTTCGTTGCTACTTCATAACTGTAATGTTGCTACTGTTATGAATCGTCATGTAAATATCTGATATGCAGGGTGTATTTTCATTGTTCGCAGCTCACAGGTTGAGAACCGCTGCACTAGGTCATGGCACAGCTGTTACTGTTAGTGACAATGTGATCAATGTGGGGCCGGAGGCAGGAGGCGCTCCCTGCTCCACTGTCCCGCCTGCCTCCCGGCCACACCTCACCAGTGTCTCCCCTCCCCCAACAGGGGACGTCGACGTGGACGAGTGCTCGGAGGGTACGGACGAGTGCCACATCGATGCCATCTGCCAGAACACGCCCAAGTCCTACAGATGCCTCTGCAAGCCAGGCTTCAAGGGGGAAGGCAGGAAGTGTGAAGGTGAGCCCAGCCAGCCCTTCCGGCCTGCAGCCGCCACCTGGGGGCTCCCCCGGGGGTGGAATCGGGAGTCATGGGGTGCCTGGCTCTCCCTGGGTTTGAAACTTTGGGGTGTTTGTTTTGTTTTTAAGAAATCGAGATGAAGTATTAAATGATATCTTTGCCCGTCTATCCTGGACTGGATATGTGTGGGGTAAAGGCCTGAGGTAACACCCAAGGTCTCTGAAGTCACCCTATGTGGCCTGTAGCTTCCAAAGGACCTGCTAGTAGCTGGCCACACCTGAGCCAGCCCAGGGGCGGGTGATGTGCTGTCTGCCTGTCCAGCCTTCCTTCCCTGCCCCTGGGTGCTGGTTTGATGTCTGGCACTGGAAACCGCCCCCTGGCAGGCAGAGAGAAAAGAGTGGGCTCGCCGTCTTTGGGGTCGGTCTCTCGGGCCGGATGGAACTTGGGGAGGTGTGTCTAGGAGGGTCTGGTGGGTTTTCTGACTACAGGCCTGGGGCAGGGCCAGCATCCGGCGCCAGAAACAGCACGTGACTGATGTGCACCCCTGGATGAGAAGCTCTGCTCCCAGTCTTCCCTGTCTGTCCCCATTTCGTGGATGAGGAAAACTGAGGCCCAGAGAAGAGAGGCATCGTCGCAGGCCCCATGCTCTCAGCGGCATGGCCGGTGCTCACACCCGGGTCTCTGGCATCTCGTTTTCTCCTCGCTGAGCCCTGCCCCACTGTCTCCACATGAGGTTTGTGTTAGGAACGCGACACATACACTTCTGGACACACTGCACAGGAGCTGGAGTTTTGCAGAGCAGCTATGCCTTCTGGGGACGCCGATACTGTTTATCCTTCTCATTCGCTGGGCATCTACTTAAGGCTGAGTGCTGGCCAGATGACATGGCCTGGGTCGTGCCTGGTTTGGCCGCATCCTGGCCTTGCTTGGTGCCCAGGAGCCTGAGGGGGGAGGCTGGCGCTGCCCACAGACCTCTGGCAGGAGGCCAGGCCCCAGGCAGATAGAGCGGACGTCAGCCAGAAGCCTGGTGGCACGTGCTGGCCCGGCTGCTGGCAGGGCCTGGAGGTTAGTTAGCTCAGTGGTTCCAAGTGGCACGTGTGTGGCTCTGTGTCGCCGTTTTCTGACCCCTGCTCCCCACTGCAGGCCCAGCGCTCTGGCAAGGGAGAGCCGAGGGTGACCCCATCTCTGCTGGTTCCAGCCACTCACTCAGCTTGTCCTCCTCCAGCTCAGGTCCTAGGTCCCTTCCTGCTAGCCCTGCCAGGAGGCCCACGCTTGGTCACCTCCCTGTTTCCCTGACTTCCCCAGAGTCCAGCTTCAGCTTGAGCCTGGATGGGGTCACACTTGCTGGCTCGATGCGCCGACATCCTCTGTGTGAAGGTGAGAGAGGAGGATGCTGTGACTGTGTGCCAGGAATTGCCAGGGGCCTCCCTTTCTCCGGCCTGGCACCGGCCTCTGCCCCTCACTTCCTGAAGTACCATATAACACGTGTCCTGGCCACACACACAGGCCAGGCCTTCCCTCGCCTGGAGCGCCTTTTCCACCCTTTGTGTTCTGGCTAATTTCTCATCATGTTTTAGATTTGCCTCCTCCAGGAAGCCCTCGCTGATGCCTCCACTACACACACACACACACACACACACACACACACACACACACACACAGCTGCTATAGTACCTACTCAGCTCCCTGCTACCCGCCATCATGGCACTTCTGACTCTGGATTGTAACTGTGTGTCTTGCTCCCCCACTGAACTATGAGCTCATTTCTGGAGGGTCTGCCATGGGCTCGGTGTTGGGGCCGCCACACTGAAGTCGACCTCGGGCTCACAGTGAGCTCCTCAGTTGCAGAGTCTCTTGGGTTTGTCCCCACGTTCCAGCTCTGGGGCAGGCCTGCACTAGCAGGTGCAGAATACATGTAGTCTCGGTTGGCTCTCTTTTGCCCAGACTGGAGTTCACATTAGAGGAGCCACGTGTAAGATGCCCCGAGAGATGCGAGGGCCTATGGGAGTGTGGGTGCTGGGTCCATGAAGGCTCGCTCTGGGCTGCCACCCTCCTCTGGTGTGAAGGTTTAGGTAGTCATTTCCCTCCTGAGCCTCCATTTCTCCTGTGGTTAGATGGGCCCAAAGTACGCCCCCCCCGCAGGTGGCGGTTAAAGCAGGCACAAGCTATTTAGCCTCTGTGAGCCTGTGAACTAGAGACAATAACAGCGGTGTCTTCGTGGAGACAGTGTAGGGGCTGCATGAGTTAATGCGCATAGAGGGTCTGAGCACAACCTGGCACACAGGGCACGCTCTATGCACACTTCAGCTGCTGTTACTGGGGTGCTGGCGATGGCGCTGATGGGGGGACATGTTAATGAGGATGACGTTGATAATGACCGTGATGGTGATGGTGAGGAGGATGTTGATGACGACGATGAGGAAGATGGAGGAGGAGGAGGAGGAGGAGGAGGGGGATGGTGCTGAGGATGAGGATGTTGATGAGGAGGAGGATGAAGATGATGAGGATGGTGATGACAGTGAGGAGATGAAGATAAGGATGAGGATATTGATGATGATGATGATGATAATGAGGAGGATGAAGATGATGATGTGATGATAGTGATGTTGATGACAGGAGGATGAAGATGATGATGATAATGAGGATGAAGATGATGGTAATGAGGAGGATGAAGATGATGATGTGATGATAGTGATATTGATGACAGTGAGGAGGATGAAGATAAGGATGATGGTGATGATAGTGCTGATGGCAGTGAGGAGGATGAAAAGAAGGATGAGAATGTTGATGATGATGATGATAATGAGGAGGATGAAGATGTTGATGATGATGATGATAGTGATGCTGATGACAGTGAGGAGCTGAAGATGATGATGATGATGATGATGAGAGTGATGTTGAAGATGAAGAGAATGCTGATGATGGTAACGATGGTGGTGGTGGTGATGATGATGATACCATGATCAAGCTGATGATCATACTGTTGTTCAGCATATGAAAATGGGTGTGGCTTTGTCTTTTTCCAGCAATTCCCAGGTTCTGAAATGGCTGGGAAATGTGATGTTCTGGTTCATTGATGATTCAGATAAACCATATGCATATACTCATATCCCCATAGAGACATACAGACATGTGTGCCGTTCACAGATCACCGTCTACCGAGAACGTACAATAAAATGACAAGTGACAGAAGGCTTTCCTTTGTTCCACTAAACCTCCTTCCGGGCCAGAAGCATACGCTGCCCTGTCCTGCAGCAGACATCCCAGTCCATCGCCCCCTCCAGGCAGCACTCCCACTTCAGGGAAGCCGTTTCCCTCCCGGGCTCTTTGTCTGCAGGTCCTGAGCTGGTGTGGAGTGGGCAGAGGCTGGCGTGGAGACCGGGGGAAATGAGTACCGTCCTGAGATCTGGCAGGCGGCGCTACTTATTGTGATGAGCACAGAGGACGGATCCTCTGCAGACATGCCCGGAGCACGTGGCTCCCACGGTCTCCCTGGTCCTTCACGGGAAATGGACCCAGCGTCTGGGAAGCCCTGTGTGGGGCTGACTGCGCCTCTTAAACCCTTAACTGTGTCAACCTGGCAACTTCTGCTGGTTGTGACCCTCCCTTTCGCACACCCAGCGCCTGAGGCAGCCCACCCTGTTCCGGGACGGCCGCTGAGCACACCTTCCAGGCCATCTCGCCGTGCCTTGCGGCCTGTGGTGTGCGGGGATCACTGAGCCTCTCCGTGCGGCCACTTGGGTCCGGGGAGCGGTGTGGGCCCCGTGCAGGCAGCTTGGCAGGAGTCCTGCTTATTCCGACTGAGGTGCCACAGACTGGTGAGCACGGCTGTGAGCAAGGCTGAGGATGAATCAGTGTCTTCCTGATGGTGCGCATCCTGACTGCATTTGCAGTAGCTCGAGGTAAATCCGTGGATGTGCAGAGTTGGAAGGAACATGAATAGGTATCCAGGGCAGCCCTTGTGTTTTACAGATAACCACACCAGACCCATTCACACCTCCCAGACCCATTCACACCTCCCAGACCCATTCACACCTCCCAGACCCATTCACACCTCCACTTTGGCCTGGACACTCTACATTTATGTTTCCCTGTGTGTCCTCCTAGAATGTGGGCCCATCAAGGGCAGGATCTGTGGCCTATTCACCTCCAATCCCTAGAATCCAGCACCAGGCCTGGCACAGGGCATGACAGGCATCTGTTGAGTGGAAGGTTGGGAGGCTGGATCCCAATGGTCACCTCTTCCAGGAAGCCTTCCCTGCTGCCCCAGACAGGTGAGCTGTTTGTCACCTGTGGGCACCCTCCTTCAGACCTCCTGTTACACTGCGTTGTGATGACCTATGTGACTTAACTTAAGCCTGGGCCCAGAACCATTGCCTCCCAAACTCTGAAGGTTTCACAGGTGAGGAAAGTGAGGCCTGAGAGCGGGAGGGACTAGTTCAAGGACATTGGAGTAGACTGTAGCAGAGTTAGGCTGGGGAAATTGGGAGGTCAGTCTCTAGCCCAGTCTCCAAACTGAGAAGCAGCAGAACCTGGATTCCAACCCTGGTCAGCATGGGATCTCAGCAGAGGACCAGGCCCACCAGCCTGTGTGAATAAAGTGGACAGTTCCTAGCTACGGAGTCCTGGAGGGGGCTGGGGAAGGAAACCCTTTCCTATGCCCACCACCACCCCCTTGCGGCCGCCAGCCCATCGGAGCCAGGCCCTGTGAATGCAATGGTCTCAAAGCGCATCACCCATCGCATAACTAGGAGGTGGCATCCCTCGGGCTTACCCAGCACTCAGCTGACAATTTTGCGCTGCTGTCATGCTCTAGCCTTCTCTCCCTAACCACACCCCAGCATCACTGCCATCTTTCTAGCTCAAACTTGCCAGCTCCTTCCTACCCCAGGGCCTTTGCATATTCTGTTCGCCCAATCCTTCATTTAGCTAGGCCTGTGTATCCCCAGCTCACCAGCTCCCTTATGCAAAGGCCTTCAGAGAGCTGCCAGGGCCAGCCC